CGTTGGTAATTATGCAGGCTCTGAAGCCAAGCCCGGTATCTATATATATACTTTGTATTGCTAAATTAAAAGCAACTGTGGGGTAAGAGAATAGCAACATTTCAAGAAGAAACAAATCAAATGTGACATGTTTTGACGGCACTGATATACAATGATCCGAGCTCGGTTTTGAAAGAGAGAAGCTTGGCCCAAAGGAAACGGGGAGGTCCCAGAGCCAGGAACGTGTCTCAAGGCGAGCGCTCTGAGATGTTTGTTCCCTCTGTGACTTGGAACACAACCCCTCTGCCTCCTTTTCCCACAAATGAGGAAAACCACCCACTGACAACCTTAAGGGCGCAAGTGCTGGTACAAGGAGGTTAGAACATACCTGCCTGGCAAACATCTCCTTGTTTCTCGATTAGCCTGATTTACTGAGTGGAGCTGGTACCTTTTATAAATTGTTTGCATTAAATCAACCTTCTGACTCAAACCTGACAAGGCACATTCTTATTAAAAATGTAATAAATTGTGAATACACACTACTGCTGTTACTGGCTACTGCTAAAGAGTGAAATTAGGCCAACACAAATAAAGGCACTTTCGTTTTTCACTTCGAAATGGTTTGCCTTTTAAAAAGTGAATGGTATATAGTACTATTATTGCAATTTTTAAAAAGTAAATAAAGCTTCTTTAAAAACAACACACACACCTAGTTAAATTGCCACCGAGTGGATGTGGCAGTATGGTGAAACAGAAACGTGTATTCAAATACCTTGAGTGGTGAGATTTGGATCTAGGCCATGCTCTGCCCCTGACCTGAGACAAATCACTTAATTGCCTGGAAGCCTTTATTTACTCCTCTTAAAATATGGGGGCCGGATTAGATGATCTGACCTCAAGGTCTCTTTCAGTTGTATAAAATTGTAAGTATAAAACTTTATGGAGAAGGTATTATGAAAAATGAGTTTTTTCTTTTAAATCCTCACCCGAGGTTATGTTTTAGAAAGAGGAAGGGAGAGACAGAGAGAGAAACATCAATCAGTTGCCTCCCTTACACCACAACCTAGGTATGTGCCCTGCCCGGGACTTGAATCTGCAACCTTTTGGTGTATGGGACAATGCTCCTACCAACCAGGCCTGAGGGACATTCTTAAGAAAATTAACAAGCCCATAAATTGTATCACAGGAAACCGGGACTTAAGTAGTAGGCCCTCAATACATTAATTTTGCTTCATTCATTTTAGGTTAATTGTTTTTTAGAGAACAAAGCAAGTTCAAGCTTGTTAAATAATAAGTTACTTAACAATACTTATGTTTATAAATGTATGTATATATAATCACTTGCATTTAGGGATAATAAGGTAAACCTCCAGAATCATAAAATCTTAGAACTGGAGGAATTTAATAAAATTCAAAGTAACCTCTCTGCTGGTGAGAAATCCTGTTATGTGCTCTCCTTAGTTACTTGTGTGACGATCACACTCCCTTGTCTTCAGAGTGAGCTGAAAGGGGCTCCTTCCTTCTCCCTCTAGCTGTGTCTTTGGGAGCAACAGTCCTCTTTGCCACAGAGCAAAAGAGTGACCTAATCCTGTCAAACCTTCTCGCTTCCTACAAATTGCACATATTTTGTCATTTCGTCCAATCATCCCTTACACGTTTCCAGACACAGTATGTCCACATCCCTCTTAAATCCCAGCTTGGAATTAGCCTCAACCCTGAAGGGTGGTCTGGCAGGACAGAGCCCATGTACCTTCCCCCAAGTTGGTCCTGGTATAGTACCATACTGCGGTAGCTCAAGGTGATTTAGCATCTCTCTGTTCTACTACATTGTCTTCTGATGGTTCATAGTGAGTGTACACACTCCCAAGATCTTCTTAACATTAACTACTGAAAGGACAGGGCCCTCCCATGCTTTAAAATTCTAAATGCTCAGCTTCACATTTATTTTTGTTAACTTTCTCCGTGATGGTTTCAGCCCATCGTGTTCCAACCTGTCGAAATCACTCTGAATGTTGATACTGACATCCATCATATTAGCGATCCCTCCCAGCTTTCTGTCATCTGCAAATGTGATCAGCATGCCTTCTCTGCCTTCATCCAAGTTTTTGATGAAAGCTCACTGTATTTTTTAAAAAGTCTTTTAATTTATTGATTTGGGTCCAATTTTTGATAATTCTGTAAAGCTATCTAAAAGCAGAAGAATCCAAGCTATGAGATTCAACCTGACTCCAAAACAATGCAATTAAAATAAATGTGCTTTACAAAATTGAACCAGGCCCCAAAGGTAGTATCAGGATGGCCTAGACGCTGGCATGGTCAATCCGCTATTTTGGACAAAGCTAACAATTAAATTGGATAAATGTTTGTTGATGAAGATGATGACTCTAGTCTAACACACTGAATGGTGCAGAGACAAGCAAACAAGCTGGATTGATTTTTCCGTGTGGAGACAGTTCCCAGCTGGGACAACTCAAAGTGCTGGGGAAGGTTTGCCACTGAATAACTGAATAGTCCACAAAGATCAATAATTGGATAGTTTGGGGCCAAAAAAAAAAAAAAAAAATCACTTTTGGATCCAAAATTCTCTGTATTGACCACCAAAAGTGATTTCAAATATCCTGGAATAATGACAGACTGTGTTATACAGTCTCAGTGTGGGTAATATGAAATAGCTTCATAAATTCAGAAAAATTGCATGAGGAGATCAAAGCTCCTCTAGGGAGGAGGTCTTTATTCCAGAATGCTTTTTTCAGCACCCTCTCTCACTGAAACCAGGGAGCACAGACTTTTGGGTCCAATACACTTGGCTTCTAATTCTATTTCTGATGCATATTAGCTTTGTGACGTAGGGCAAATTAATCTTTTAGCCTTTCTCAGTTTTAATCTCCTCATCTGTGACACAGAGATCATAACACCTTGATGGCATTGCTACATGGCACCTGACAGGTTAAGTGTTCACACTCAGAACATTCAACAAATGGCAGGGAGGGCACTGTGCTAAAGCTTTGACAAGTATCATCTTATTTAATCTTCACAAACCCCAGGAAGTAGATATTATAATTACTATTCCATAACACCAATGAGGAAGCGGAGTCATTAAAAGGTTTAAGCAGTTGCTTAAGGCCACCCAGCTACTAAATGATGGTGTTGGGATTTTAATCTAGGGACCTGCATGGGTCCAAAGCCTAAGCCCTTAACCACTGCATTATTATGTTGGACTATTATTTGAGACTTGACTTTCAAGAGATGCTACTTGTAATCAGAATAAGAGTTTTCAACCTTTGGTGCTAACGATCTGACACGCTTCTCCTATGAAGTCTTGTGATCAGGTGCAGAGAGGAGGCTTCCCAACCCAGAGTAAAGGTAGGGATGAGGGGAAGGAAGATCAAAGCAGGTGTGCCAATCATAACACTGCCACCTAAAAGGAGAACACACAATGGGCCCACTCACACGCTCTTTCCAGCTGTTCAGCCAGAAGTCTGAAGTGCTGATTAGACCTGGGCAGGGAAATCTGGTAGGACCTGCCAAGCCAGACCAACCAACTGGGAATCCCTGGACTGGTCTCTCTTTGATTTGTGGACAAATCTGTGTCTCTCAGTTTTCTCGTCTTAGAGTGAGGATAACTATCCTTACAGTTCATGGTTCTTTAAGTGGTTAAATCAGACAATAAACCACAATGTCTAGCATGCAGAAATTGCCCAATAATTGTGATATTTTTTTTCTTCCTTTCCATCTTTGGTGAGACTCTGTGTTACTAGAAGTTTGCTTTTCCAAGTCTTTTTAAAAGCTGCCTTACAGAGTCACGTTTATACATTTGCTTAGAAAATCCTTTCTCGTGGTTCTTCTCTTTGTTATCTAAGTTTCTGGCCATTTTCAGAATTCAAACTAATGATATTTTACTACATCCCATATGAAATAGGTATGTTGATATGTTTTGGTTGACTAGAATAACAATACTGGTGATCACTTATGGTCTTCAAATGTCTTTTCAACCATCTTTCCTGTGTGGCTGGTGATCAAAACATCCCTCTGAGGTTAAATATTGTAATCATGTCCACTGTAGGGATCAAAAAGCCAAGAGCAGGTGTAGGAAGCAGTTATAGGGTTAAGCCTTGGACTGACCTGCTGGCAAAGTCGCAAACAAATCCTAGTTTGAAGGGCACAGTCCTTGAAGCATAATTAAGCTTGATCTTGTAACTGTTCCCTAGATCTTTCCTGGGTACTAGTGGGCTGTGGGAGGGGCAGCAAGTGCTGCCAAAACAAGTGAAACTTACAAGAACATTGTAAACTACCTTGTTTGCCCCTGACTATAAAATAAACTATTAGCTTACAGTCTGGATCTGTATTGTGGCCTTAAGCCAGGCACAGAAGATCCACCCAGACCTAGCTTATTCTCTTTGTCTATCATTTCTCCATCTTTCCGCTCAGGCTCGCAGAGCCCTTGGCTGTGCTGGCGAGGCCCAAGCAGAAGCCAGGTGACACAGCTAAGAGGCAGCAGAGGCGGTGTTCCATCCCAGGTGTTCCATCCCAGTCTTCCTAATGTCAAGGCCACAGCCACTCCTCTCTATCAATGGTCTAATCCCTCTAATAAGCAAATGATCAATCAATGCCAATGCAATTGGGTAAACTGCTTAAGGGTAACTTACAGCTCACCCAGAAGGTTTGATCACAATATGAGAAAAACCAGTAGTCACTTGGTCTAAACCACGAGAGAAATCTGCAAATTGTAATTCACCTGTGCAGATTTTCATTGGCATAACCACCAGGAATCCTGCAACAATGGGTATGACAGATGCAGCCCTGTCAAGACCATTTGTTAAGGGATTCAGAGACCCAATAAGGCAAAATTATTTGATTCGATGGATGCACTGGAATTGCGAAATGAAATGAGAAATATAGGAAAGGTAGAAAAACTGTTGAGCACAGTGGCAAGCACAAAGTCAATCAATCAACTCTTACTACTACCATCATGAGTAGGGACCCTGATCATTCATTCAAAAGCAGGACATTATAAAACTTACTCTGGAATAATCAAGTTCTCTGGGCGTTGAGTCTGTTAAAGCTCGGACGAGGGCATTCATCATACAGCTCGGAGGAGAAGGTGGAGAGGGCTGAGAAGGTTCCTGCTGTAACGGGCTCTTTGGTTTTGAAGGCAGCCGACCTCTCCTCCCCTTCAGACTATCTGTACGGACAACTGATGGCAAGAGAAAAAGAGAAAGAATGTCTTCAAAGATATTCAAGCATAGTCATAAATCACACACACACACACACACAAAGGAATTAAAATGTTTTACAGCCGAGCAATCATTAATGAGACCAACCATTTAAAAGTGGCAATAAGTTTGGAATAATATTCACACAATGTTGTAATAAGAGTTGAAACAAGCAGCATAAAAGCCACTCCATACTTCTATTTGGTGATGAATTAGTCCTAAAAGTCTCCTTCTTAAATAGAACAAAGATGTATGTACACAAGCTCTCTATTGATTGTGAGAAATCAGAAAGTAGTCCTCAGCTATTTTTAAATGTAAACATACACTGTAACAACAAGATGTTGGGAGGAAAGGAAAACGAGGAAAATTCACCATTCTAATGTAAATATTAGCATTTTTTCAGTGATATCTGAGAATCCATATAAGTTGGGTAAAAAGCATTATGTTCATACCTTCTTTAACCATTCCGACACTGAGACACTTCTGAAAACGACAGTACTGACACCGGTTTCGACGTCTCTTGTCTACAGGGCAGTTTTTATTTGCCAGGCAAACATATTTTGCATTTTTCTGCACCGTTCTCTGAGAAAATACAATACAGAGATAGTCAACTAATAGTTTCTGGAAAGAGGTAGAACCTGACAAGATGTATTTTAATTACAACGTGAAAAGCGACAGTGCAATTCGTATAATTAGATAAATTTAATTTCCTAACACGCTAGCCTGCAGGAAAAACAATTTTATTAGTGTTAGCTGCTGACAATGAAAATCATCTCAGATTGTTCTGAAGCAAGTCTCAGGAGACATCCAAGTCTGAATGATAAAATCATATCTGAAATTACCAGGTCAACATATCATACCTTGGAGGATTAGATTATCTCCACTTTTAATATCCCTCTGGGAACAATTTTCTACTTGTTCCACTCCCCTGATTATTGCTGACCTTATTAAAATAAAATCAAAATTATCTGGGATGTACTTTGTTGGTTATCACTTTTGTAAGTCAAATATTATAGTAACTAGCTTTGTTTCCCAATAGAGATGAACTCATAAAAAACGCAAAAATCAGGATTTACCTATTTCCAATATATAGGAAATAATGTTTAGTGCCCCCAAATCCCTTACTCAGCCTTTGTAGTTTATATTTACAAGGGTAAATGGCCATGATACTTAAAACCAAAATCTTAAAATTGGACACTAAAAACCACTATCACATCCAAGAAAGGAAAAAAGAAAAACCAAAACAAAAATAAATAAAAGAGAGAAAGAAAGGAATATGAGAGCCATATATTTTCAATTAAAATTCCCAATGATTGGTTATTTCGTAAATGACTATTGACATAGACATCAAAATAGCCATATTGTAAAACATACTTCATAAAACTTGGATTTGGATATAAAATAATGTTTTATTCTTCAGATGTAATTTTAAAATGGCACATGGAGAAATAACTGAGCATAATTTTATGCTCTAAATATAAGGGAGGCTTGATTTAAAAAACCCCACAAAAAACATGTGTGTAACTGGATGTGTGTATTTACCACTTAGGGTAAAATCATTCAGAAATTACCTGAATCTATACAATTCCAAATAGAGCAGAAAGTTGAAATTTATTTGATAAGCCTAAAAAAGAAAAGAAATCTGGGTAATTTGGGATTGGTAATCTATTTCTTTGCCCAAAATTCTAGGCTTATTTTCAATCTTTACTTTCAGCAATTCTCAGCCCTCATTTAACAGTTTTCACCCTCTCATCTTTTAATTTCACATTAGGAGATCCTTTTTGCTTATATGAAACTTAAAAAAAAAATCTAACAAAGCCAGATACATTTTCCCTGCCTTTGTAGGCGATTTTAGTTTAAAATGCAAAATTCCAAAACAGAAACATGCTTCTGAGTTTCCAGCATTTAAATTCTCAGCAGTCTTTAGGGGTAGGAAACTTGTGTTTTCTGATTGAAGTTCTCTTCATCGAACATGCAGTAATTTCTAAAACTCTATTTCTTGCCATTTGTCCTCAAGGTTATATGCCAATTTGAGTGCTTGGCAGCATTTTGCTTCAGGTATACATTTTTCCAATAACCTGAAACCTTTCCCACAGTCGTGTGTGCCTGCACAGTTTAAGGACAAGGAGAGATTGTTACAGTTCAATCACTGAATTCCATCATTAACTGCATTTCATGTCACATTTTTAAAGAATTCAAGTTAATGGTAGAAAGCCACTGGGTAAAGCCTGCTCCCATTCCCTTAATTAACAGATCTGTGGGATGGTTCTCTCCCATCCTACCCCCCGCCCTTTCAAATATAGATTTGTTTTCAAGGAATTGCTACAGAAAAGGAACCCTGTTGGGGAACACTTAATTGACATTTCTGGACTAGGAATGTATTACCACTCCTGTATTTTCGTCAACTCGCAATTATTCAGGGATGGTTGTATGTGAAACTACGTGCACTTCTCTTAATTGTTTTTCTTCCTTTTCCTCCTTTTGCCTATCTTTTTTCACTGCCCTTCAGCATTTCCACCGAAATGATATAAAAACCAATTTGTGAAAGGAATGCAGTTCCTTGAAAGTAGCCCTGGTAAAGCTTGAGTAGTGAAGACTAAAGAAGTGGCTAACCTGAGGGCTCTATATTTAACATATCATGGACCTGTACATGTCTCCTGCATGGTTGCAAAGTCTTTCCATAAGCATTTCCTCACTTTCCTGCAGAATGCAATTAATCACATGATTTCTACTCCCAGATCGAAAGTAACTGTTGCTTGTGGGTATGCTAACCAATACACACACACACACACACACACACACACACACACACACACGTGAGTTTTTACAAATACTTTGTAGTTTTGACTTACAATAAACTATTGTTTTTTTTTTTAATGGTTCTTTAAAGGTTATAAAATGCCTTCATAATTGTTTTATCCTGTTTAATTCTCACAGCCCTTCTCTGAATTTAATTCACCTGTTAGGGAAACTGAGGCCTACAAAGAAGTATCATGCCCAGTGTCATACAATTGGTAGGGAACAGATCAAGGCCTCCTATTTAAGGGTTCTCCAAGTCCAGCCTGCTCCCAGATACATCCTGTTGGCCTCCTAAATCCTATTACCCAATCAGCATCCAGCTTCCCCTTTCCCTCCTCCCCGCCCAGTGTGTAGGCTAGGGAGTGATGACTGCAGGAGAGCCTTTGTGGTTTTGCAAATGCCTGAGATGATGGCCAGGGGTGTGGGGATTGGGGAAAGTGGCACAGAATTAAGTGTCTGAAGAAGCTGGGGAGTCAATAGCAAAAGCAGAGTAGCAAGAGGACAGGGCCTCTTTCCCTGCCTGTTATAAAGAGCACAGAACTCAAGAATCCTCACGTGCTGATAAATCACTGTGTATGGAGCAATGCTAGCCTGTTTACAGGCTACCCAGAGCTTCACTTCCCTGGGCTTCAGCTTCCTCATGGGTAACGTGGGTGGAGGCTGGAGACCCTCCCACTGCAAAATTCTCCTCTGGGTCTATGAGATCATGAACAACTTCCACACCTGGCAGTGCGTGAGGCCCAGAGGTAGAGTGAATTGGTGAAACCCCAGCTTCTACCTTCTTCGAAGGGAGCTGTCACAAACTGCATCTAGGCAGGGGCCTGTTCTACAGTCGCAGAGGTGTGAGACCACGTGCACTCTGGGGCCATGCAAGCATGCGCTGGCATCCCGTCTCCCTCCCTCTCTGAGAGTGTGTCCTGGGCCACTGAATAACCCTTCCAAGCCTCCATGGCCTCACTTATAAAACATGGGTGATTAAGATCCACCTTCAAGACTCTTCCTAAAAAATAACTAGTACGGGGCCAGAATCCAATCTCAGGTCTGTCTGACTCAACAGTCCTAGCTCTTACTGCGAGGGTTAAATGAGATACAAATGTCCATTGGCCTGGCACACAAACCCTTCTCCTCAGGATGGTCAGGGGAGAAATGCAATTAGGTTTGTACGCTTTTGAGATCCCAGAGCCCTTGGAGAACCTGCCAGAAGCTTGCTTCCCCCAGAAAAAATGATCCTAAGATAATGGCCAAGTCAGGAAGCTCACAGCTCCTCCAATCCATCCGGGGAGGGCCTTCTGTCATGGCCTTCACGTTCAGCCACCCGGAGAAAACAGACGTGAAGGTGCTGGGCTGCAGGCACGCAGAGTTTAACCATTATTACACCTCTCCGATCTGAATCAGGAAGGACCCACTTCTAAGCTCCCTTGAGCGGGTGGCCCAGGGGGCTGGCTGCGGAGGGAGGGAGAAAGGGAAGGGCGCCAGGAGGAGGCCCTGGCGAGGCTCACCTTGAAGAAGCCCTTGCAGCCCTCGCAGGTGCGCACGCCGTAGTGCTGGCAGGCGGCGTTGTCCCCGCACACGGCGCACGTGCCCTCGCCGGAGGACGAGCTGCGGATGGGGGGCGACGGCAGGCCGGGGCTCTCCCCGAGCAGGCCGGCCGCGGCGGCGGCGGCGGCGGGGGAGGCCGCGAGGCTGAGCGGCGGGAAGGCCAGCGCGGCTGTCCTTTTGGGCAGCGGCAGCCCGTACGGGTGGCCCTCGAGCGCGGCGGCCGGGCTGCCCGCGGCGGCGGCGGCGGCGGCGGCCCCCAGCGGCAGGCTGAGCGCGGCGGCGGCCGTCGGGTCGTAGGGGAGGTGGTGGCCGGCGGCCGGGCTGGGCGCGGGGTGCGGCGGCGAGGGCTTGAAGTGGAAGAGCGGGAAGCGCGCGCCGCCGGGCAGCGCCTTCATGGGCGGCGGGTCGAGCAGCGGGCCGGGCGCCAGGCAGCCCTGCGCCGCGGGCAGCGCGTCCTCCCCCCACAGCGCCCCGGCCTGCGGGGGGAAGCCCGGCGTGGTGGGGGTGGGCGGCGGGGACTGCTTGAAGAACATGGACGTGCTGGGCAGCACCTCGTCCTCCGGCCCGGAGGAGGAGGGCGGGATGGATGGCTCTGGCTGCGGCTGCGGCTGCTGCTGCTGCTGGGGATGGTGGTGGTGGTGGTGATGGTGGTGGTGGTGGTGGTGGTGGGAGAGATGGGGGTGGTGATAGCTGTGCGGGAGGCCCTCTTCCATCTTGATCAAGGGTCGCGGCCCCGGGGGTTGCATCTGGTACTGGCAGGAGGGCTTGGCTTCGTGGTAGCCCTCCATGAAGGTGCTAAAGCTGGGCAGGGACGTGGTGGCCCTGGCCGTGATGTCGGTGCTGCCGCCGCCGAGGTCCATGGTGAGCTTGGTGTAGTCGGGGTTCATGATCTCCGCCGCGTAGTCTGCGCTGTAGGGCTGCGCTGCATAACTGGAACCTGGAGGCGAAGGGCTATACTGGGCTTGCACGCAGGGCATATCTGCGGGGACAGGGCAAAGGGTCTTTCAGAAGGAGGTCAGCAGCACGCTTTCCCAGCATGGCTCTGGAGCCTAGGCCTAGGAGACACAGAGGAAGTGACATCCTTTTCTCCTCCTGCTAGCACAGATCCAAACCCCAGGGCTTCCTTCCTTCCATGGCTGGGGAGAGAGCTGAACCCCTTACAGACTGTGGGAGGGCCTACAGGATGTCAGAACCCAGCCTCCTGGGGACCTCAGTGCCCACCTTTCTTCCCTTGCCCTATCCCATACCAGATCTGGGAAAACTGGAGTGACTTCAGCCACTAGTTTGGGGGGGGGGGGTTGAGGGAGAAGAGGAGGGTGCCTAAAGAAAGCCAGGGAATGCCCTGTTAGTTTATTTTTTGGGGGAAGAGGTTACTGGTCTCCCAAGTCACACACATTGATTTATAAATTCTATGAGTTAGTACAATAAATAAATAAATAAATAAACAAACAAAGGTGTCCCACATGGGTGTTACTGGCCAAGGGAAATGGTGACGTTCTAACATTTTATAAGTGCCAACTAAGGGTACCCACACATATTGTGGTCGCTTTTTCTTCCACCCCCTTCCCACTCTTCCAGACAGGGCCAGCAGCCTGCACAAGCTGGAACCCTGCTGATGACTTCAGCCAGCTAGGTGTTGAGGTGGGAAAGTAGGCCCAGGAAATGGACTGGGGGAAGTTTGCACCATCTGCAAAGAGAAAGATCAGCAGCTGCAACATAGCACCCACCAAACCTGCTCTCTGCCATATGCAATATACGATATACAGTATATATGCATATATATATATACATATATATAATACACTTTTCCTTAATTCTAATAAAATACATTAGTGGCTGTTTTATGAATTTATAGCTGTCATAACAGGTTAGTTTACATATTATCTGATGACAAAGTAATTGGGACCCCTACAAAAAGAAAGCAGCTTCTTAGTATTTGTTTCTCTGCCAGTTTGACTATATTAAGCCCCCCAAAGCGACTGGTACCCAGGGTGCTTACTATTGTTCAGAGAGGTTGAGCTGGCTGAGTGGGCCCTGAGAAGTATTGGACCTAATGAATAACTTACCTAATGATTTCCCTTTCTTTGTGGCTAAATGTAAGTGGTAAAATGAGCAATTTCTGGTGGTTATTTTTTTTTTTTCTGAACCAAAGGAAAACCAGGTGCTTAATGTCTATGTGGAGCTTTTGGTGTCAAATGTGTGACTAATAGAAGAGTGAGTACTTCCCGTTTCCTCTGACATCTTTCTCTTACCCACATTTCCAAATCTGATTGAGTCATGGGTCTATGGGATGAAATCTTGACTTGAAAAAAAGGTGATGTGGGCCTGTCGTGAGAAGCAGTGGTGAGGGGAGGCCAGTTCAAGCCTCTATTTTTCAAACAGGGCCTTAAAAACACTCACTGGTTTGAAGTCAGAGGATTACCTATCCTGCTTTGCAGTTGTTGGGGGTGAGAAGAAAGGCGAGTCATTTAAAAGAAAGAACACTGCATGAGGTTTCATCTCTTCTCCTTCCCCCTTTAAACCTCTAGGATTTCCCTATTAGTCATTCTTCCTTGCCAATCCCTGCCTATTTGCTCTCGTGTCTTTCTGTGTTTCCCAGCTCGACAGTGAGCCTGCTGGGACTGGATTCTATTTATCTGCATATCTTTGGTGCCTACACAGGCCTGGCACCTGGTATCTCCCTGACAAAATGTATAAAGAGATGTTACAAGCCAAGTCTGCCACCCTTCCTTTTGCCAACTTAAAATTGACTCCTTGGGTGTCAGGTCAAATGCTTTTTCTCTTTCCCTCTGAGCTTCAAGAATCCCACACTTCTGCACCCAAGTGACTTGGATTTCATGTAAACAAAAATACTCGATATAGTGCTCTAAGTGACCCCATAATTCTTAAATGAATAAACTGTAAAGGAAGAGCAGCAATGAAGACATGAACAGTAAAATATCCTAATCTACGGTGTATTTGTATTTTTCTTAGGAGAAATATTTTTGGGAAATGCAATGCTTAATGTAATCTGGCAGCTCCGCTCGGTAGCAACAGGGTGTGGTATCCAGAGGAGCTCCCTGCAAGGAAGCCACCTGTGCTGTGAAATGCGCAGCCAGCAGCCACTGTCTTGGCCGCTCGGTAAGTTGACCGCCTTGCCCGCTGGTAGTGTGGCTCCCCCACCCACCTCTCCCAGCCGGGTTGCAATCAGGGGTGGGGTCGCGCCTTCAGACCTACCTGGAGGATATCTTGCGCGCTGAATGGTGGGGCTGTGGGTCTCTCCAGCGGAGGCTGAGAGGGAAGGAGGCAGAGACGGACGACCAGGCGAAGCGGCGGCGGTGCTGCCCAGCTCCGCGGTGGGTCCAGTCTCCGGGCCGGGGCTGGCCGGGCTGCGCTCTTCCGCAGTGAACTCTGCGGGCACCCAGAGGGAGAACAAAGGTCACAGCAAGTCCAGGCCGAGCCACCGAGGCCTGGGGCTGGGCTTATGGGGAGTTAAGGGAGGCCTCTAGCAATGCTATGTTTATGACAAAAAAAAAAAATTCCAAGGAGCCTGGAGTCCTGAAACCAGCAGCATCACACCACCTTGAGGTAGCCGAGGAAAGGTGGTCCCTGCCAGCCGCGCTCACCGCCCTTCTGTGGCACCCGAGCCCAGGCTAACATAGCAAAGCCTGGCATCGCCCAGAAATCGATCCTCTGCCCCCAGCAATTGGTCCCGAGCTCGCTCACGAAGTTAAGGAAACAGAAGAAAAACAGTGGAGGGAAGAGTCCCGCCCAGATTCGGAGGGTGGGGGGTTCCGTGGGTGTGCACGAGAGGGGAAATAGTCATTTTCCAATCCCACCCGCTCCCACCTCTTCAACACAGATCTCCACGCTGCATAGGAAATGCACAAGGTCCGGAACGAATGCGCAAATGCCCCCGAGGAATTAAGAAAGTCAAGCCTTTCATTCTAAATGCTAATGGAGCTTTGCGTCTGTTAGCTGCGCGTTTCGGGGGGGCCCAGGGGTCAAGCAAACAAAAGGGCGCAGGGAACACAGGCCCGTGCTGCAAGCCAGGCGAGGCGGCGGACGGCGTTTGCAGCTTCAGGGGAGGTCGGAGGGAGGCCCCCCTGCACCCAGCGGGCGGTCCCCTTGAGGGTGGGCGACTCCTAGGCTCTGGACCCCCCGGGTGGCCCGGAAAGGGCACCTCCGGAGGGCGCCGGCGCGGTTCCCGGCCCAGCGTGTCCGCGCACAGCCCCAGCGAAACTTTGTAGCTGGAAGGGCCTCGAGGAAGGATTCCACCGCCGCCAGCGCCCGCCTATAGCGCCACCTTTGTCCGGACCCAGTCCCAGCCCAACGGGAGGCAACGTGGAGCCAAAAATAAACACCCCCTCCCCCCAAATCCTCCGGGGTGCGCAGGCTGCCAGAGGGTCGTGTAAGTTTCATTGCCTGCAACCTCCACACCCATGGCTTCTCTGAAGAAGGAGAGGTATTCAGGAGTTTTCCGGTCCGAGGAGCCCTCGAAGGCCAGGAAATGGGGGATTCCCTTGATACCCCAGTCACAGGCCCAGCCCCAGCCCCAGCCCCAGGCCCAGCCCCAGCTGATCCTACGAAAAGCTTGAGCTGACTCTAGTACAAGCACCGAAGGATCTTCCCACGGCTGTAGCTGGTGCTTCCAGCCCTTCTCCCCCCGCCCCCCATCTTCAGTGGGGTCTCCGGAAACCTCCCATCCCCTCTCCCAGGAGGTGCCCGCATCCCCGCCCTGCCCCGGGGCCTTTCCAGCGGAGCCTTTAATCGGCCTTTGACTTGAGGGAATGAGGGTCGCGTTTCCTGGAGCACTAGCCTTGGAGGGGAAGAGCCACAGCACGTTTCCTACAGCTGAGCCAGCCGAGCGCCCCTGGGTCTCTCTCCACCCCCCACCCCCCACCCTTCCCTCCAAACGTCCGGTTACCTAGGCGAAGCCTCCGCGCCTGGAAACACTTTCGGCGGCTCCTGCTCACGGCCGCGGGGACCGGGGAGCACGGAGCCTCGAGGTTGTAAATCAGGAAGAAATAACCGCCTCTGTCAAAGCCCCTTTTCTTTCTCGTGGGCGGACGAAAGGAACACCCCCGTGTTCCCCTCCCGGTGGCGAAGCGAGCGGAGGAAACCGTGAAACGCACCATTGTGACCCCGGCCCCTCCGCGGAGTTTCCAGCCTCGGGGAGCGGGGGCGGAGGCTGGGGCGGGGGCAGGGCGAGCGGAGGAGACCGGCGGGATGGGAAAGACTGAGATTCTCAGAAAGACAGACGGAGTGGAGACCGACCGCGGGGAGCGATCCTGCGAGCGCACGGTCCCAGGGAAGGGAGTGGGCGGGTGGGTGGGAGCGGGTGTGGAGGCTGCTGTGGCCTCGAGGAGGAGCCTTCGGTACTCACACGGGGAGCATCGTGTTCGGCCACGATAACTCGAATAAACTCTAACTTCATTCATTGTGCCCGGCCGCCGCGATGGGCACGTTTCTTTCCCCCAAACTTAGTTCTAGAAAACATGTCTTTGTCGTGGGAAAAGAAGGTGGAATCTGCTATGAAATGACCAATCAGGCGCCCTGAATGTCTCTCCCGGCGGCACTCCAAGGCTCTTGGGATCACAAACGCTCCCCCACCCCCCAGATTTCGGGTCCCCCAAGCTCCCTGCAGCTAGCCAGCTCTTCCCCTTTAGAGTGATGGAGGCATCAAGAAGAGGCAAGACCTAGGCAAAGACCCCCGCGCCTGGAAACACGTTCTTGGGCATCCAGGGACAAATGCTGACACTTCACGATCGCCCCCCCCCCCAAAAAAAACAAAACAAAGAAACTCCCAGCAGGTTCTAGAGGTCCCCGTGGGAGCCAGCCGGTCAACGCAGGCTGCGCTGGCACCACCGCGCTCTCTCCTCTCCACCCAGAACTTTCAATTCTATGGAAACACTCGGGAGCAACTTCTCCCAGAGCGCGAGTCCTGACAGTTGGGAGGAAAACATGCCTTTCTCACGCCGAAGCCAAGCCTGGAGGA